ATACAGTACTATACACATCCCGCTGGAAAGCCAGCAGGACTGGGGCTCAGGTTGACAAGAGCCAGGGACCCTATCACGTGTCTTACAAGTCTTCCATCAGCTCAAGGATCATTTTCTCCACGCCATTCTCCTTTACGTGGTGCACGATGAGCCAGAACCGGCCCATGGAATCCAGGTACCGGCTGCCAAGGTGGAGCACCCACCATGAAGGCATGGTGATCGAGGTCTGCTGGCTGGTGGTGAGTGCATTATTCTCACTGGGGTCGTCGAGCTGGCACAACTGTACTTGAACGTCACCTCCTGTCTCTGTGACAAGATGCATCCATGTGCGATGGTTGTCATCCTCATACAGCGAGGGTCCACGGATATCCAGGCAGATGGGGTGCTTGGTGAGGTGCACCTTTGACGGGAACTCGGCCATGACCCCTCCGTGGTCTAAGAAGCAACAGCCACAGCTTCTCAGAGCCTCTCGCTACTTTGGTCCTGGTATCGAAAGACAGGGGATGGGGTATCCAAACGCATTTACATCGGCTTTTATCTTTATGGTTTTTACGGTTACGTTTGTGGTTGCCTTTGGTTTATTATGCAAATGTATAAGTCTCAACTTTTCTTTCTTTTAAGCTTTAGATCTCTATCCTGGTAAAAAAAATATATAAAACGTACTTGAAGTAAAATATGACTCTGTGAAGGTAACATGGTCCTATGGAATTTTAAAACATTTTTAAATGACAATTGACATACAAACTTAGGTTCATTTCAGGGGTACACCCCACTGATTAGACATTATATAATGGACTAAGAAATCTGCAATTAATCTCATATCCATCTTCCACCATACACAGTCATATTACTAGAGGATCAGTGCACAAAATTTATGCACTCAGGGGGGTTCCCTAGCCAATCCTGCAGCCTCTACCAGTCCAGGAACCCTTGAGGGATGTCTAACTGTTGGCTTAGGCCCACTTTAGTGCTGCCGTGGAGGCTCCCACCACGCCCTGTGTTTGGCAGCTGTGAGCCTGCTTTTGGCTGAGCAGTACTCCCCCTGTGGGAGTGCACTGACCACCAGTGGAGAGCTCCTGACATGAGCATCTGCTCCAGGTGGTCAGTGTGTGTCATAGCAACCACTTGTTCTGCCATTTGGTCGATTTGCATATTAGCCTTTCATTATATAGGATTGCATGGACTCAATGCTGAACTTTACTGTGCCATGATTATTCTTTCGTTTTTTTCATATAGTTCTACTGATTTCAGAGAGCAAGGGAGAGGGAGAGAAAGAGGAAAAAAAGATCAATGATGACAGAGATTCATCGATTGGTTCCCTCCTGCACACCTCCTACTGGGGATCAAGACGCTAACCCCGGCATGTGCCCTGACTTGGAATCAAATCGACATGTTTTGGTTCCTCGGTTTGAGCTAAACAGCTGAGCTGTGCCAGCCCAGCTCTTTTCATTTCTTTTCTTTTCTTTCTTTTCTTTTTTATACTTTTTTTCTTAATTAAAACTTTCTTGTTTGATCAACTTTTCTTTTTGTCCTGAACCACAACCTTCTTTCTGATCATCTCAGAGGGAAGTCACAAACAATAGAACAACCCACCCCAATCAAATAAAATGCAAATAATATGCTTTACCTTTTACAGCTGGCAGAGGAACAAAGCTAACGTCTGCATCCAGGTGGGCTTCTTAACAGCAGTCTTGCTTCTCAAGTGCTGGTGAGAGAGGCAAGACCAAAATATTCAGGGAAATACAGATACCTGTGATAGCCGATCAGGCCAGCAGGAAGCGAAGAGACAGGTGAAAGAGCAAGTACGATTCCTGAGTTCTAATAACATCACTTATAGAATGATCTCTCCCATCCCCAAACTGGATCCATGCTCTTGGCAAGAGCTGCATGGCTTAGCTGCTAAACTCACTTCAGTCCACAAAGTCCAAATTCCTCCCTCAGATCAGACTCCATCCCCAACTGTTCCTCCTCCTCCTCCCATCCACCTCTTTCTTACCTGTTCTTCTTGCTCTGAAGGCAAAGCACCATCCTAGCTCCTTTCCTCTGTGACCAGTCTCTGCTTTCCCCTCTCATCTGCAGAAAAAGATCATGACCGTGATACACATATTCCCTGGAGTCCTTGTACCAGGAATGTGTCCAGAAAAACAAGGTACTACTGATTCACCCCCCAGAAACCAGCCCTATGAGACAGGTGGTCGTCAGGAAGGAGAGAGGTTTATTCAGGTGCCAGTAACCTGAGAAGATGGGGGAAGGTCGTCCCAAAACCCATCTGCACATCTCAGTGGAGGCAGTGATTTTT